AGGACATTCATGAAGACTTACAAGTTGTATGCTTTGCAAAGCAATTTATATACAGTAATACAAGTTTTATTTTCTTCTAGTAGTATTCAAAACCAAAATCTAGAAGCTACAACTTTTAGCAGAAATTAAATAAATTCACAATTAAAACAAAAATAAATAATTGCAGTAAACTGTTTTAGAAGCATATTACAGTTGCATCAATAGCTTGAAATAAGGTACAGCTTAAGGTAACAAGCCTTTGAACTGTGCTTATAGGTTGAAGTAACATATCAATCTTTAATTAGCTAGGCTTAAAGTTGGTGAACACACCCACTCCACTGTAAAACTATTTTAGCAATGCTTGCAGTTATTATTTTTTAATCATACTTAAATTTCAGATTAAAAACAAACTATACAAAATTAAGTGTACACCAAACACTTTAGCACATTATTGAGCTTACCTCTTTTTCAGACTTGTAAAAATATTTCACAATGTTGTTTACAGCATCTCCCAAAATCTGTTGTATCTCGGGCACAGTAAGCTCTAGAAAAGAAACAGTATTTGTGTATCACAACTGTACAAACAAGTTATCCTTATATTCCAATTGATAATACACAAATTCAATATACAAAAATAGAGTTATGGTGTTCAACATAAAGAGCTCATGAAGCATTGTAAATCAGTGGGCCTAATACTTTGTACAGCATATATATATAGTCCAGCTCAGCTGAGAAATTCTGGTACTGCATGAAAGGCTTTCTAGACAGTAATTGTGGGTTTCATTTGGGAACTATGAACTGGCATGTACTTTTAAGGAAGCTAGTAGTAAAGATGTGCAATTTGTATGTATAGCTTGTAGGTTGAAGGTGAAGTTAAAAGCTTTCCTAATTTAAGAAGAAGCAATAGATAAAGAGAAGTGTAGATTGTTGGAAATGGTAGCAGGATTTGAAGAGGAGCTTAAACTTTTACATGCAAGGGAGACACCAGCTAACAATGACTGTCAGGAAGTTAGAATGAGTACTGTTAGGGCTAAAAGTAGTGGATTTAATTGTAATGAGCATATTCTATTGAGCAACAGATTTCAGCCCTTGGCTTCTGCAGATGAGGAACTATTGGAGGGAAAGAAACCAAAAGGGACTGAGAAGGATGTGGATGATAAGGAGGTTATAGGTTACAAATTTCAAAATAGCAAATTTTGAAGGGATGCAACAAGAATTATCTGTTGTGAATTTGGCAGCTGAGTTACTTGGAGACACTGATCAGATGTGGAAAATTTTTAAAGATAATTTTTTATATATTCAAGGTAAACATATTCATTATAGAATGAAAAGGGTAGCTGCAAGTAAAAACCAGGTTGGCTCACAAAGAGTAAAAGAGAAAATTAAAGAAAAGCATCACAAATTTAAGAAGTTTAAATTGATTGGTATGACAGGAGATTTAGAAGATTATAGAAGATCAAGAAAGTTGGTGAAACAGGAAATTAGGACATCAAAAAGGATGTATGAGAAAATGTTGGCTGAAAATGTAAAAATTAAAAGGATTTCTTTAAATACATTATGGGTAAACAAAATGTTATGATGGGAGTAGGACTTTTGATGAGTGATATAGGAATGCTCGTATCTGATGATCATGAGATGGACGAGTTTTATAAAAAATTTTCTTAAGTTTTTACTAACAAAGATGTAAGTAGTATCTCACATCTTGAACAGCTGATAGATAGAAACAAGATTTAACAAGATGACTGCATTAATGCTGAGCTTGTTAAGAAAAAATTGGGAAGTTTAAAGAATGATAAGGCTCCTGGGCTAGATAGTATTTTACCAATGGTCTTGAAAGAAGTTAAGGATTGAATATGTGAACCACTTGCTACTATTTTTTGAATAGTGGGCGGGTACCAGAGGATTGGAAGTTAGCTAATGTTATTCCCCTTTTCAAAGGAGATGATAAAAATTGTCCAGTAATTATAGGCCCACTAGTCTTACATTAGTTGTGGGAAAAGTTTTGGAAAGGCTGATAAAAGATGCTTTGAAAAGTCATTTAACAAAGTTTAGAATTTTATTGGATAGTCAACATGGTCTCATTCTTTTAAAAGGTTACTGCTTGTGCAGATGAGGGTAAGATTGTAGATTTGATGTATCTGAACTTTCAGAAAACAATTGACAAGGTGGCACATAAAAGGCTTGTCAAAAAAATCATCTCTATAGGTGTGGGGGATAAGTTGGCAAATTGGACAGAAAAGAGGCTGGATGGAAAAAAGCAGAAGGTTGTTACAAATGAAGTTCAATTCAACTGGATTAATGTCACAAATGGGGTACCTCAAGGCTCAGTCTGTGAACGTTTGCTCTTTTTGATTTACATCAATGAATAGATGAAGGAATGTTCAATAAATTACTTAAATTTGTTGAGGATATTAAGGATGCTGCTGAATTACAAAATGATTCAGATCATTTAGTGAGTTGGGTAAATAAATGGCAAATGGGTTTAATTAAAATAAATGCAAAATAATACATGTGGGTTATCATAATTTGAATTATAAGTATAATTTGGATGGGAATAACCTTAACAGTGTCAATAAATAATAGCTGATCAGTCTCTTAAGTCTTCCAAGCAGTGTGCTGTTGCTAGTGGTAAGGCAAACAGGATTTTAGGTTGTATCTACAGAAATATTGAATGCAAATCTAAAGAGGTTATAATTTTATTGTATAGGTCACTGGTTAGGCCACATTTGGAGTATTGTGTTCAGTCTTGGGCTCTTTACCTTAGGAATAACATTTAACAATTGGAAAGGGTTCAGAGGAGGGTTACTAAAATCATGCCTGATATGGAGGGGTTGTCATACGAGGAAAGATTGAAATCTCTCAAATTGTTTTATCTTGGAAAAAGAAGAGTTCGAGGGGATCTGATTGAAGTGATTAAGATTATAAAGGGAATTGATAGTGTTGATGTATCATCTTTTTTCATACTTAACAGTGAGAACAGTAGGACTAGGGGACACAAATTTTGGCAGAGTAGAAGGTCATCTTCTGGCTGGCTTAATGATTTTTTTTTCTGTTTATTTATTAATAGTTTTGGCTTAGTTTAGAGGATGGGACAGCTGAGATGGACCAATAGGTCCCATGTTGTCCCAAAACATTATGTTATTTTAAAACTGTGGTAAGATTTCTTGGCCACTTTCTTTTTTTGGGTGATCTCTATTAAATATTGTGACACATTCAAATGCAAGTTCCAAATAACTTTTGTTTAAATTTATATTTTTTAATACTTTGTAATAAAATAATTTTAGGCTTAAAAAAATGTCCTAGGTTTAATAATTTATAAACAAAATAGTTAAAATAACGTGAAAAATGTTGCAAGTTCTTGTGTTGCACAGTTAGATTAGTAACAACTCTAAAGTGTATTTTTAAAATCTAACAATTAGTAGTAATAAAATTATTAAAAATGATTAACTTGGAATGTTTAGTTAAAAAAAAAAAGATCCACACAATAGGGTGTCTCAAAAGTTTAGACCCATAAAGAAAATAGACATTATATTCTTAAATAAACACATTTATAATGTCAGTTGTACATATTTCTGGAAAGAAAATACCTACAGAATTTTATTAGTACTTAATTTAAAAAACTGATATTTTGTGTACAAAAATTTTGTAATGCTTACCAATATTCTGCACATTTTTGTAAAGATGTGCATACATTATGAAAAATCATAGTATAATTACTCTTATGGATACTTTTGTGGTTATGAGCTGGATGGATTCCATCCAGCTCGTAATGGAAGGATTAAATCAATATACAAAAGTCTTCTGGATTTTCTTCTCTACGGGTCATAAGAAGCTAGATATCAAAAGCTACTTGGCATATTTAATCTATGTCCAGTGTTTATGCCAATTTTCAGCTATCCAGAGCTTTCCAAAGTCGAAAACTAGCGAACAGCCAAAACTGAGATTTCTTACTTTTGTTCATCACCATCTTTCTTCAACAGACCTAGCACCTACCTAGTTCTAGCAGTAACTATGATTTTACCATAATTCAATAGAGCAAAACAATCTTCACGATCTTTGACTACCTATTTTATTATTATTATATGCAAAACTTATAGAGCTTTAGAATACTCTCTATAACCTAGTAACCTATGTACGCTATCTTATAAAAAAGTAAACTAACAAGTATCAGGAAAGAATGAATCTCTAGATAAAAAAAGCTATATAGGGCTGGCTACTGAACTTGAAAAAAGGAACCAAACAGGATACGGATGGAAGAGGACATATCACTTGATCCAGCTAATGATCACATAGCAGACTAAACCATCTCAACTTTACATGGAGAATAAAATTCCTCACTGACAAAACAAATAGAACCAGAATTTCCAATCGTAAAATGTTACAC